TTCATGGTGAAATGAAAAGAATAAAAGGAAGCGGTCAAGTACACACCAAACAAGCAGAACCACTTACAATTCAAGATGAGAAGCTATTGTGGGAGAAAGGATTACTTGGGTCAGGATCACCACACATAATACTGGATACAATGGTATTTATGTGCGGTGTTTATTTCACTCTAAGAAGCAGACAAGAGCACCGTGATCTACGATTCAGCCAGATAAAACTAAAAGAAATAGATGGGAAAAAATGTCTCGTATTTACAGAAAATACCTCCAAAAACAATGCTGGAGGACTTAAACACCAAAAAGCAACACCAAAAACTGTAACACACTACGAAAATAAACATGATACAAGTAAATGCTTCATACAGTATTATCAAATATACATCAAACATTGTCCACCACTAGCATTAGAGAAAGACTCAGCATTCTACTTGACACCACTTAAAAAGGCAAAAGGTGACTTGTGGTACTCCTGTGTTCCAGTGGGACATAATACGCTACGAACCACAATGTCTAGTGTCTGCTCTTTAGCTGGCATTGATGGCTTTATAACCAACCATTCTCTCCGTGTCATGGCAGCTACAAGACTGTTTCAAGCTTGTGTAGACGAGCAGCTCATTATGAAGAGAACGGGTCATCGCAGTATAGACGGAGTGAGGACCTACAAAAGTGTCTCAGCAGCAGGAAGAGAAATTACCATCGATACTGAATTGTGCAGAGGAAGAGCCAGAGACTAAGAAGATTAAACTCTCCATTGAGCTACCCTCTTCTTCTGATGCTGCTCGGCCTGCTCCTGATCTTAATCCTTTGCAACCAGTATCCTTAAATCTTTACATTTGCAATGGAAATATAAAAATAGACATAACTCACAAATAGACAATAATCAGATATATATTGTCATGCAAAAATCATTTAATTATAATAAAACCAAAACATACCTATTAAAAGCGAAAAGGAGCCATGTTCTCCATTAGGAAACACGTGTTTTCACCAGGTTGTGGTTGTAGATCTAAAGGTGTGGCCAATGGTAGCTATAGAGATTGCACATCTTTCAAAAACAAGTTGGGTGAGTTTTATAAAGTTGGCTATATTTACCTTCCAAGCCTTTTGTGCGGTAGTATAAGTGATTTTACTTACCTCTAACGCAACAATCTGAGTGGTCAATTGCAAATAGGCATGGTAGAATCATAATATAACCCACACACTATTAACCATCATAACTGAACTGCGCATAGCTAAGGTGCTTCTTTCTGAACAGCGCATCACCTGCAACAGCTGCTCCTATTCAAACTATTTGAAGTAGATCCTGTTCTGTGGTAAGTAATCTTAGTACAGAAGTTTTCTTTACAATAAACAAAATATGTAAACACAGATATGATGTTGCTCCATCAGGTTATTGTTAACATTAAATGCGTACAACTTTATAAAGCAACGTTTTTCTAAGTCAAAATATCAAAAATTTTACTCTAGAGTATCAACATGTACATGAAGAGACACACTGATTTTTTGGCAAGACACTGCAGAGTCTGCTTTAAGTACTTCACAAAAATCAGTGCAAGTGTTCCAAGTATGTGCATCTCTAGAAAAGATTGCATCAAGTGATGGAGCTGATATTGAGCTAGAGAGTTTTGTAACAGCTGCTACACAACAGCAAAGAGCTTACTCTCCTGTAGCGATGCTAAATTGCATGTTACACCAGGCAAATGGTCACCACACAGTGATATGAACTGTGATGTAAAGTGCAAAGGTGGGAGACCAAAGAAATCATCAAAACCTGGATGACCATCATACATTCGCGCACACCTCAAATCAGTAGCCTTCCATCTTTCACTGTTAAAGACGAGAGTTATAGAAAGGAGATTCCATGTACATACTGTAGCTCAGCACTTCACTCACCAGTTGAGAATCTATTATGTAAATCTTTGATTTGTTGTGGCTGCACTCTCTGCTACAATTCCTTTATTTAATTACCCGGGTTCCTGACTTCATGAATCTAGTGAGTCTACCTTTACAAAGCCATCATGCATAATAAAAAAGATGATCAAGAACTTGATTGTCAAGTAAATAAAAGTGGGGTCGATACTACTGTAGTATCACTGGCAAATAAGTGTCAATTGCACATAAAAAGTAGAAGTGAGGCGGGCTACAAGAGTGCTATACGAAATGATGACTCAATCCCATAACATTTCTGTACCTACAAGAGAAAGAATAAGTAAATAAACTTTATACATATTATATATACAGGTATACAAAAGCCTATCAATGTAACAAAGGTCACCTTACCTTCACTTACTTCTGGAGAAGCTGCTGAGCATACTATCCGCCAATAAAGCAATGAAATATCTAAGGTGAGGGATTAACTGACAAGAGGAGAGAGTCAACGTCAAGTTGTAGTTCAGATAAAAATGATGACAAAAGAAGAGCAAAATGAGATATTGAAAGAGCTTGATTTTAAGATTGAGGCAATGCCTTGGGATGAAAGCAAATTTTTACCTGCCAAGGTAGAAGTTAGGACTCATGAGGAGGTATGAAATGAAACTACATGACAAAGCAATATCAATTAATGGTTATTACAAGTAGGTGGATGAAAGTACAGAAAGTTAATATGAGCAGTGAGAAAAAGCAGAGAGGAGTAATCAAAAACGATCTAGAGCCAATACCAGTTAGAGCAGAAGCAGTACCATTTTCTTTTATAACACAACAAGGTAGCCAAGAGATAAGACCTCCTCCTCTTGCCTGTGTTGATGATTTGGAGAGTGTTATCTTTCACCTACTGGATTATAAGGAGCGGTAAACAAAAATAATACTTTAAAATACATTCATTATAAACAGACTAAACCCGCTTACTTAGCATGATGGGATCATACCACCAAATGAGATATGGATAAAACTGGGAGGAGATATGGGTGGCTCTTCTGTAAAAGTTTCATTTCAAAATAATGAATACAGAAAAACCAAACTCTGGCCTAAACAGTTGCATTTTTTCTGTGTTTGAAGCTCCAGATTATGTTTTCATCCTCCACCTTGCTCTAAACAAGTATCATCAGACAATCTCACACCAACAGCAGTCACGGACAGTGGAAGTTAGTCAAACATTTGTGTAAACATATTATTTATAATGAATAAAAATAGAGACTATAATATCTGTATATATATGTCAGGTGACTATAAATTTCTTTGTAATATATACGGTATATCTTGAGCTAGTGGTTTGATTATTTGCATTTTCTTATGGTTACAATTATAATATGTGACCATAATTGACAAGAGGGCCTTTATGGCGCAAAAAATCATTTTGAGA